TTTAGTAAGTCGAGGGCGACGCAGTTGCCGCCCCATAGGCAGGGAGATTGTGCGATAGACCTCCAGGCAGGAGCTGCGCTCCCACGGAGCCATGTGTATCCTCTGTCTCAAGAGGAAAAGAAAGCTATGGAGACTTACATAGACGAATCTCTGAGACAAGGATACATACGGCCTTCCACTTCCCCTGCGTCCTCGAGTTTCTTTTTTGTGAAGAAAAAGGGTGGGTTTTTCTGTCACGATCGTCTGGGTAAGGAGTAGTAGACCAAGGCGCAGCGTGTGAAATAAACATGACTTTATTTAATAAAGCACGAAAACCAAAACAATAGACGATTCGTGAAGTCCACGGTTAAACATACCGACACGGAACAAAAACCCACAAACACAAAGTGAAACAAAGTGAAGTTAAATATGGCTCCCAATCAGAGACAACCAGCACACAGCTGACACTCGTTGCCTCTGATGGGGAGTCATTCATTCAAACATAGAAATGAACCCAACAGAAATACCAACATAGAAATACACCCAATGAATGAACACACCCTGGCTCAACATACAGAGTCCCGGAGCCAGAGCGTGACAATAGTTGACGTGTACCTATGATGAAAATTACAGGCCTCTCTCATCTTTTTAAGTGGGAGAACTTGCACAATTGGTGGCTGACTAAATACTTTTTTCCCCCACTGTATATCTATACTAGCACACTTAGAATACATGTCCAGCACATTGCTTCATTTCAAGTACAGTAGCATACTGGTTTGAATATTGGAACAGAGCGCAAAACATAATAATGCTAGTACTGTGTAGAGCAGGGGACTCCAACAGGTAAATCGTGAGCTAACAGTAGCTCGCAGCCCATCTATGAGTAGCTCGCCAAACAATTCTGAAAGTACATGCAATTTTCACGTGTTCCACCGCAAACTGTCAAACAAATCTCACAAGTATCAGACACCGCAAGCTCCCAGCTACTATCTAATCAATGCAACTTATACATTATCCCACCCCTGGCTAGCCACTATTGGCTTAAAAAGCCAACCCTATCACAATGTCTGCCAATTAATTTCCATCAATATTGTCCCCGTCTGTCTGTTTGGTGCGCGCGTGTGTCCATCACCCCGTGTGTAGCCAGTTGATGTGATAACCGTCTTGTGGGTTGGCAGAAATACTTTCCCCAAAACCTTCTCAATTAAATGTTAACTGCAAAGTAGGCTTACCTGGCAGAAATATATCATGAGTAAGTATATAATTTGTATCAATTAGTATGATATGTTAAGGCACATTCCTCACTAGATTCACAATTAATGGGTGTCATGACTCTCCTGACACTGGATCAAAGGACACATCAGCTAGTCAAATGTTTGACGATAGCCAGACCCCCTCTCTCCCACAGAAGAGGGGAGGGGGGCTGTGCCAGTCTTGACATCTTAACGCCTGGTCATAAATAGTTTCTAACTTTCCCTCTCTGCCCTGCAGTACTGGGAAAGAAACTCCTTTGTTACAGAGAGTGTGGCCCAACTAAAAACTCTTAACATCAAAAGATTGGACATTGGAACGTTGTTGAGATCCAAATGTTTGGAATGGTTGGTGGGGATCTAAAGAATAATCATGTCATACTGTTTATTGTTTTGTGATGTCATTAAGGATGGTATTACTAAATAACTGTATCTCTGAAAGTGTACACGTTCCAGTTATCAGGTTTGCATCTAAATGTTGTATAAAATAAGTATGAGAATATGTTTGTGAAGATAGCAACGTGATTTTAGCCTTCTAAATGATATAATTGTTTTTCATAGAAACTTTTGCCAGTCAGTAACCACACCCAAGTGAGCAGACATTTGGTCGGCGTGATGGAATGCCCCTTTTTACCCAAGGATAAAAGCCTTGGGAACTAAATGTACATTCAGACCAGGAAGTGCGGAGCAGTGGCTACACGGCTTAAAATGGTTAGACCAGAAAGAGCAGAAAACGTGAGACGGTAGTCCATACGTTTGAAATGGAGAAACTCTGAAACTCTCAATCTCTACATGAGAAGAAGACCACGCACTAGACCTTATCATATCAGTCTGCAGCTGTACATGTAAAGTGTCTAGAACTTTCACTAAAGACACGAGTTGGGAAGGACAATCCCTCTCAGACAACCGTTGGTACAGCTGAAGTATCTATTCTAACGAACACTCCATTCGAAGACAAGCCGAGTCTCACCGAAGTGGGATAGGACACTCAAACCCTTTTTGAGAAAGGGGTTCAACAGAGAGACGACGATCAAGGACAGCTACGTGTAAATATATACATTGCATTTCTTATCCGAATGAGCGGTGGTTTCCAAATGTAACAACGATAAGTTGAATCTCTGTCTCTCCCTTTCACTCTCTTTCTATTGACCCCTCCTTCCCCTAACCAAGGAGTCATGCTATTGTTAGTCCAGTCCACTAGAGACCTGTTTTCATTGTATTACATTAGCAATCAATAACCTATACTGTGTGTGTGTGTTTCTGTATTCTGTGTTATTATTTAGTTAGTTAGTAAATAAATAATTAAGCCAATTTGTGTATTACTGATTCATCAATAAGGTTAGGGTTCTTGCAGGTTCAAGGATTATGCGAGGTTCAGAATGAGACTGATGAGGTAATGATTTAATAAGTGACTTACCGATATATAACATATATACAGTGGGGGAAAAAAGTATTTAGTCAGCCACCAATTGTGCAAGTTCTCCCACTTAAAAAGATGAGAGAAGCCTGTAATTAATTTTCATCATAGGTACACATCAATTATGACAGACAAAATGAGAAGAAAAAAAATCCAGAAAATCACATTGTAGGATTTTTTATGAATTTATTTGCAAATTATGGTGGAAAATAAGTATTTGGTCAATAACAAAAGTTTCTCAATACTTTGTTATATACCCTTTGTTGGCAATGACACAGGTCAAACGTTTTCTGTAAGTCTTCACAAGGTTTTCACACACTGTTGCTGGTATTTTGGCCCATTCCTCCATGCAGATCTCCTCTAGAGCAGTGATGTTTTGGGGCTGTTGCTGGGCAACACGGACTTTCAACTCCCTCCAAAGATTTTCTATGGGGTTGAGATCTGGAGACTGGCTAGGCCACTCCAGGACCTTGAAATGCTTCTTACGAAGCCACTCCTTCGTTGCCCGGGCGGTGTGTTTGGGATCATTGTCATGCTGAAAGACCCAGCCACATTTCATCTTCAATGCCCTTGCTGATGGAAGGAGGTTTTCACTCAAAGTCTCATGATACATGGCCCCATTCATTCTTTCCTTTACACGGATCAGTCATCCTGGTCCCTTTGCAGAAAAACAGCCTCAATACATGATGTTTCCACCCCCATGCTTCACAGTAGGTATGGTGTTCTTTGGATGCAACTCAGCATTCTTTGTCCTCCAAACACGACGAGTTGAGTTTTTACCAAAAAGTTATATTTTGGTTTCATCTGACCATATGACATTCTCCCAATCCTCTTCTGGATCATCCAAATGCACTCTAGCAAACTTCAGACGGGCCTGGACATGTACTGGCTTAAGCAGGGGGACATGTCTTGCACTGTAGGATTTGAGTCCCTGGCGGCGTAGTGTGTTACTGATGGTAGGCTTTGTTACTTTGGTCCCAGCTCTCTGCAGGTCATTCACTAGGTCCCCCCGTGTGGTTCTGGGATTTTTGCTCACCGTTCTTGTGATCATTTTGACCAAACGGGGTGAGATCTTGCGTGGAGCCCCAGATCGAGGGAGATTATCAGTGGTCTTGTATGTCTTCCATTTCCTAATAATTGCTCCCACAGTTGATTTCCTCAAACCAAGCTGCTTACCTATTGCAGATTCAGTCTTCCCAGCCTGGTGCAGGTCTACAATTTTGTTTCTGGTATCCTTTGACAGCTCTTTGGTCTTGGCCATAGTGGAGTTTGGAGTGTGACTGTTTGAGGTTGTGGACAGGTGTCTTTTATACTGATAACAAGTTCAAACAGGTGCCATTAATACAGGTAACGAGTGGAGGACTGAGGAGCCTCTTAAAGAAGAAGTTACAGGTCTGTGAGAGCCAGAAATCTTACTTGTTTGTAGGTGACCAAATACTTATTTTTCACCATAATTTGCAAATAAATTCATAAAAAATCCTACAATGTGATTTTCTTGATTTTTTTTCTCAATTTGTCTGTCATAGTTGACGTGTACCTATGATGAAAATTACAGGCCTCTCTCATCTTTTTAAGTGGGAGAACTTGCACAATTGGTGGCTGACTAAATACTTTTTTCCCCCACTGTATCTTCTAAGAGTTTAATTCAGGAGATGGTAACTAGTTTTCAACTCCTTCCGTGGTGCCACAAATTCCTAATTATTAATTTAATCGAGTAACAATTAAACATAGTTAATTGATTTGATGAATAACAGTCATCATATTAATGGAAGTCACGTCGCGACAAGGACCAGATGCGCAATTAAAGAGGAAAAAAATCTAAATTTGTTAGTTTTCTTCCAGACCTTAAGAAAATTGTATTCAGATGTAATTTAAGCATTGACATGGACTCAGAACATACAATTTTGTTGTATCTGTATTAACAATTGTAATTTTGAGAGTGAAAAACAAACAAAAATTCAAAACAGGAACATTTAAACTGAGAAAACATAATTTGGGAAAATATACAACTGAATTTGATTAAACATTTTTTACAAAGTTGTTTATTAACCATTATATAACCAGATATATTGCCAGAAAACATATTGCACTATATTCTCGTGTACACTAAAGACCCGGGAAGAGTTGCAGGGGAGAGGAGAAGAGTAGAATGTGCCTATTTGAAAGCTAGAAAAATGTTTTGTAGCTCGCAACGTTTATTTAACGGATTGGTAATGATCCAAAAGGTGCAGTTGAAGGATTTCATATCATAGTCTGATGCAAAGTCATTTTGGAAATCGATCGTAGTGCATGTTGCCCCAATATATCACATTTTGACATCTCATGTAACTGGCGAAAGATGCCTAGTTGCTTACCTTGTTTTTCAGGCAGAGGTGAATGGGGAAGTCTTGGCTGTCTGCTACTGCCTCCCCATCAGGCAGCATGGTGTACACCACCACCTGGGCAAAAGGGGTCAGCTCAGGCATCCGCTGCAGCGAGAGCGTCAGCTCCCCTTGGTTTACTAACATGAGAGACGGACAATGGGATTGACATTAAGTCACCGTAAACCACCAATCATCCAATACAGACATCGTGTTTTGTGACTAGTCTATGAAATTGAAATATACTGTGCACTATGCAGTAAGAACATGTCAGAAAGGATTCAGGAGAATCCAAGACCAATTTATTTACCTTTTCCTTCTTTAACGATCACAGGAATACGGCCATGCTGCTGAATGCTGCCTCTAGATATAACCTGGGACATAAGAGACAGCCAAGTGGTATCATCAACATTAATAACCAGAGAAAGACCCAGGGAGACAGGAACATTGGCCAAAACCTGGAGATCTGCTACAAATATCTTCAAGTTAATCCATTACTAAAGTGATATATTACTGTGTATCACCCATGATGAAATATTCAACTGGAAGTCAAGTACTCTATGGTTTTCCCAAGCCATTCTTAAAACATTTCCAGACAAAACATAATATAACAATCAAATACCAAAGTAAGTCAAATATATATTCTAAAACTTTCTTGTGGAATCAACAAAAAATCATGTTAGGTTGTATTTTGAGTGGAACATCCCTTTAACCTTACCAGATAGAAAAAGTTGAGGGTCTTCTGTCCCTTTATCAGCGCCACCCCTTGGATGATGTAGCGAGCAAAAACAATACCGTTTTTCTCACAGGAGAACTTCCCTTCGCCCTGCATTATCTTCACAAAGCTCTTGCTCCTGGAATAGAATTTCCTTGCCAAATGGTAAGCGGATGTAAATACTGGTCTACGCAGACCCTGCTCGTACGGATAATCCTCCTCAACCTTTTGATAGCGAGCCTGGTTCAAGAAATACAGAACATTGTAAAATCTTGGAGAATACAACAGGAAAAATTAATGATCTCAGTCAGAACAAACAATTTCATGTTTAAATAATATATCATTAAATATTTAATAGAGTAAAACGTGAGTGAGTGAGTGAAAACTGACCGACAGAGACACAGACTCAGAACTCCATAGAGAAGTGTCTAGAGAGAAAGAAGCAATGCCCTTGCTGTCTGTTGTGAGAGTCCATTTCTCAGATGTGATACTGTTTTGTAGGAAGAGATACACAGGCTCATTGGGAACGGGAGTAGAGTCTGGACCAGTCACTTTGATCTGAAAACACAGGACAGGATGACTGCAGACATCCAATATACTAAATGTACACTCCCATTGCATAAAACACATCAAAAGCATGGTTAGATGCTCCAAATGATAAGCTAAAATGTATCACAACTTCTTTCACAAAGATTTTTCTGAACAATCCGTTTCCGTGCAGTGTTATTAAAAAGGCATTTGTTTATATATTTTGTCCTCACCTTCCCCTCGTATGCAATCCCTGGTTTATATGCTTGGGGCACGTCCTCAAAACTAACAGTTATGATGACATTGGTGAAGCTTGCCTTGCCACTACCTTTAAGGATGACCCCTGGAGAGAACACAGGCAAGGGTTAGAGGTCAACAGTTGAGCATGTAAACACCTCTACGTTAAAGATAAAGTTCTCTCCTACCCGTTCCATATTCCTCCATCTCAGTCTCCACTTCAAAGTCCCCAAAAGATTGATTTAGACCGAACCCGGTCAAGTCGATCATTTTGGTTGCACAACCAGTTTTGTCGGTCTAGGGTGAATGAGAACAGTTGTTGTAGGTCAGCTTAGCTCGGCTACAATAACATGCTTCCATAAACCTCAACATTTTCCCAACAGTGAGGGTTCTTCATAATCTAATAATTTAGCGTGACAAGAATAAAAAATACTTACTTTCATGAGATACAACTCACAGATATTGCTAGAATCATGTAACCAGTAATATTGAATGGCATTTCTGCAAACTTTCGCCGTGACAGACCCCATCACTGGTTTTCCATAAGTGTATCTAGAAACAAAGTCACCAGAAGAATGACAATTCAATAATGGCAAACACATGTGTTGCAAAAATAGAAACAGCTATGAACATGAGCAAGTATCAAACATGGGACAGTATCCATAAAGTATAGTCTATGCAACACACAAATTAAGTCTTAATATTCTGTCCATAAAATGTCCCAGTTTAAATGATCATCTTATTGTCTATCATGCTCGATCATCTTATTCACTTACTTTCCACAAACTCTCAGTGTTGCTTGCTTGTCCAGAATAGTTATTGTTTGGGGAAGATGGACTTTCACCTCATACTTGGGCAACACTGTAAAAAATACATATCAATATTACTTCCTCATTGTCTGTTGGACTACACCAAAAACAAAATTACAGACCACAATGTAATCATCAGATAGAACATTTCCTCACCATATTCTTTGATGTCAAAGTTTTGGGAGGTTTGTTCTCCCTTCTCATTCCATGCAGTGATGATATAACTTCCCAGCATTGCCTCTGTAGACATGGAGTGTGACAGGTCCAGAATTCCACTCACTGTTGACTGGTTCAACCACTGAGCAATGCGATTGGAGTTGGGGTCCTGTATACAGATTCATAGTAGATTGAAGGAAGGTATTTTTGTTATAGAGGTAGGCATTGTATCAATTCATGCTGCAGTACATATTGGCAGGCCATATTTTTGAAGGGAGATCATGTCATTATAATTGCTCATGTGATATGCAGCTTCGGTTTTTAGGTGCGATAGATTTGAATGAATCTCACCTGAAGTTCCACTGTTTGATACTAAAAAAGAGAAAAAACATTCAGCATTTATATTGGGCCCCAAAAATGTATGATTTTTTTTTTACTTCCCAAAATAGTTTTTACAGTAGGCCTACAGGAAAGGGGTTCAAAACATGAATTTCACGACTTTCCAAAACAGTTTCTACCATACAGGCATCTTTTTCTACGGAGTTACAGTACAGAGAAGGCCTTGAGCTCATGTTGATTCAGATGCTCTGATCAAACAGCCAGGCCAAATGAACTGACCACATGTTTGCTGAGCCACCTACACACACTGTCTGTCTCACTGCCCCACTGAATCATCAAAATGGGACTGCAACAGGATGAAACCATTGCTCTATCACTTCCCTTCCTTACTCAACTACAGTAAACCTCTCCCAAAATGACACAGCACCTCCCTAGAATGTTACAATGCTGACTAACACTGGGCTGTCCTGTTCAACCAAACTTAAAAATGCTTTGAAAGAGTAACTTTATTTTTATTGAACTTACACTGAAAGAGTAACTTACCATCTGTTTGAATGACAAGAAACTGGCATCCAGCGATACGATTCGGAACTTGACTGGAAAAGCAGTAGAAACATTTGTCTATATACAGTGTACATTATATCCATCATCAATTTCAGTAATGACCTTTCCCCAAGCTTATGGCCTCACAAGTATACTGTCAACATTATTAACAGTAGGCCTAGACGAAAAGGGGCAGTTTAGTACATTTACAAGTAATAACTCAGGAAGGGTCAGTTTCAGTATTTATCAAATAATTTATATAACTACCTGTCTGTCCAGGTTTGTAGACTGGTTTGTCTGTCTGGAAAATGGTGAGGAAACTTTTGGCCTTGATAAGGATCTTGGTGTTTTTGCTCATCTCCTCCTTCCTCCCCTTGACGCTAACATGGACAGTGGCCACACTGTCAACCTTCACTGGGGGTACCTACAACATGAAGAACAGAACAATGGAAGCTTGTTAGAAGTTCTACAATTCTCTAGCTCCTAACCATAGCTTGGCTCTCCTGACTGAGTAGCTTGAGAACAGAGGGCGTAGCGAACTATGATCAAAATAACACCTATTGCCTTTCATAGGTCGTATCATTTTGCATACAGCACCCAGCCTGGAATCCAAGTTCAATTCCACACAACATGACTGAGTTACAACCAAACTATTCAGAATAAAAGACTGAAATGAATGTGTTGAATGAATGTGCATAACTAGCTTGAGTCTAGTAAGAATAGTATTTTGTTTAGATGATGATCAGTACAGAAGAAGAGTCAAAGATTGCAGGAGTTTCTATAGTATTATAGTAGATCATGATCTATAGTAGATCACATCGTTGTGGAACTTTGCAGTTAGAAATGTCATAGATAGAGCTGGCATGACTACTTATTATGCCTCAGAGAGACATGTTGGTTCTACATAATATATTTCTATCAGAGCGTTCCACAACGTTGTAGCCTGCTGAACGCAGCACAGTTGCAGCTGACCTGGAAGGAGGTGCAGCGATAGAAGTCCTGTCTTATGGCTTCCTCCAGTAGAATGGTGCTGCTGCCACCCTCCATCTCCATCAACACCTTCAACAACAGAGGCTCTGTGGCTTGGTGGACCTGAGCACAAAGTTTCTCTGTGGTCCCTCCTACCACCTCCGAGCTGACCGTCACCAGGTAAATCCTAAAAGGGGAAAGAGGGAAGAAGAGCCAGCATGAATGCAGCTGTGGTAATAATACTTAAGTGGCAGTGTAATCATCATTCTGCTCTTTTGTTCCTTTGTAGCCTACTGCTGTTTTAAAGCTGGGGACAAAGTGACCTTAAATCGTCTCTGGCTATGTGCCCCACTCAGGCCAACCAATGAGACATGGAGGACACAATTCATTCTGTTTTGGACAGTGTTTGAGGGAATGAATACCAATGAGTTGTTTTGATGGTCTGTCAACCACATCTTGGGATGATTGCACAGAGGAACGTACACTAATAGGAGGGCAGTGTCTGTCAACGTCTCTCTGATGCATATATCAAGTCTATCACAAGTTGGATTTGCAACCCAAAAATCTATAGGCCTATTTGCCAGCATGTCTCATAAGATATGAAAAGCCTCACATGCACTGAGAGAGAGAGAGAGAGAGAGAGGAGCGAGCATGATAGTCTTCAAATGAGTGATGGGCTATCCTCCACCTGCACGTTCATAGTGTGCAGAAAACAGAGTAGAATTAATATCTCAATTTGAAGTCTGTTGCATGCAATCAGGTATGTAAATAAACATTGCTGGTTGTGAGTTTAATCTACTGCCTACTACATCAAATGTTTTGTAGCTTACTTACGATTCTTTGAAGGTGCTCGATGTCGCAGTTTGTAAAATCACTGATGTGATCAATACAAGGTAAAGTAAGTTGAGAGCCATGGCCATAGCTGTGGTACACAGCCTGTCTTCCTCCGCACTTCGAAATGCTCCCTTCTCTTGTACAGATGGTCAGGAAAGTTGCACAAACGGTGCTGTTTATACCCAAATACACCCTCATGGGTCACTCCCTTCCAAATTGTTTGGAACACCGCAGCCACCTCCCTCTTCCCCCAATTCCGCAGAAGTTCTCAAATAGGTCACAGCCCGACCAATGGGATGGTCAGAATGACGACCAAAATACCCCAGGCAAAAGGAAAATACACATTTTGGCGGGAACACCTCAGAGAAGAAATACCTGTGTAGCCTGGCTAACCTGTCGATTTAGCCCACCTGTCGATTTAGCCATTAGCCATGTAAAAATCCCCCAAAGCCTAGAGCTTTCTGCTTTGACGGAAACATTCAACATATCAGCTCACCAATAGCATATTTATTTCCTATTGTGTCAGCAATATGTCAATATCAACAGCCACATATTGTCCTCCAATCTAACTGTAAACCTAGTGGATCAACATACAACAAGTGTAATTTGAATACAATGGTATATTGTATGCTCCAATGAAGAGGGATTGTGGCTCGTTATTCTAAACATTTGGTTGTGGGTGCCGAGATGAGCCTCATGTCAATGTGAACAGTAATGTGGATGTCAGGCCCCATGTCCTCCAGGAACGAAGAGGAGTATGTAAATAATGTAGATATCATGGAGAAAGTTTTGCATAGGCCAACCAAGGCTGATAGAAATAATATGAAGATAGTGAAACTAGAAAAGGACATTTCCTAAAGAAAATGTGAATGCTTGCTAGTCTTGAAGTATAACGGTTTAGTTTAGTTTATTAGGATCCCCGTTAGCTGCTGCATTCGGGTCTTCATAAAACATAAAATACAGCCACATCTGAAATGTATTAGCACCCTTGATAAAGATCAGCAATAAAGACTGTATAAAATAAATAATAAATACGGAACTATAATGTATGCTAAAATTGTTTTGAAAATTATATTATTTTATACTAATGATTTCTGAGATTTTCTTTTTACTTTAACACGTTTCAAAAAGATATGTGTCAAAATTATGAGCTTAGTTCAACTGTTGTACCCCATCAGAACCCAAAATATAAGCTTGTTTTACTCCAATGTTTGTAAGCAATGTAAATGTAAACAAACACTGTATAGCATCAAAACATGGTTAAAAGTATACAGTACATTTGATGTCATGGATGGCCAGTCCTTGCATCCATAGCTCTGTGTATGAGTGCAGAGAAGTTCTCAAATAGTCACAGCCTTCTGACCAATGGTATGGTCAGAATGACAACCAAAATAGCTCAGGCTATTTTTTAGACACATTTTGGCGGGAACACCTCAGAGAAGAAATACCTGTTTAGCCTGGCTAACCTGTTGATTTAGCCCACCTGTCGATTTAGACATTAGCCATGTAAAAAGCCACCATAGCCTACAGCTTTGACGGATAAAATAATAACGTGGATAACAGGCTCCATGTTCCTTCAGGAACTAAGAAGATTAAGTAAATAATGTGGATATCATAGAGAGAGTTTTGCGTAGGCCAATCATGGCTGATAGAAATGATATGAAGATATTGTGAAACTAGAAAAGCTATATGCTTGCTAGTCTTGAAGTACCGGTATTATGGTTTAGTTTAGTTTTTTAGGATCTCCATTAGCTGCTGCCACTCTTCCTGGGGTCCAACATGAAACATAACATACAGTCACATCCAAAATGATTACCCTTGATGAAGCAAAAAATACTATAAAATAAATAATACAAATACTGAGCTATATTGTATGCTCAAAGTTTTTGAAAAATATATTATTTTATACCAATACAATTTCTCAGATAAAAATATTTAGTTTGACAAGTAATTTATTTTAAATCTCAAAAAGATAGGTGTCAAATGATGAGTTTAGTTCAACTGTCATACCCCACCAGAACCCAAAATATATTATTGTTTTACTCAGATGTTTATAAACAATGTAAATATAAACAAACACTGTGTATAGCCTCAAAACATAGTTAAAAGAATGCATTTGATACCATGGATGGTCGGTCCTTGTCTCTATAGCTCTGTGTATGAATTTGAGAGTGGTTATCCAACTCCATCCCTTAGCTTTTTTTGAAAAACAGGGGTGGGGAAAATGCTTTGTTATTGTTTCAATTAAGGATTCTAGCTTTAAAGTGGGTTATGTTGGGGTGGTTTGTTGTTTGGGGAGTTATTATAGTGGGCTATTATAGTAGGCTAGAGTGAGTCCATCATAAGCCATAGAATGGTTTAAGCTCTGAAAATGTTTTAGTTCTGCGGCAGTTCTTCCACCATTGAAATGAATGGAGTTACACCAAGTTTTATAGTGTATGAATGGTAGAAACAAGCTGTGTTGAAACAATCTTTTTTGTTGAGTCAGACTGCACATGTCGAATGTGGTTTGGTGTTTGTAGCATAAAGAGCAGTGCTGGATCCAACATGGAAGGTTGAGTGAGTGTATGGACATTTGAGGTGGTGGTTTGGGGTCTGTTGGCAGGAAAACAAAGCTTTGTTGGTGTGTTTTCAGCTTTTGGAGGAAGACAAATCTAATGCTATGATGCTAGGTGGTCAAGTGAAGACTGGTTGAGCCACTCAGATAGAATGTATGGACAAAAGGAAAATGTTGCTACACTATTTGCATGATTAGTTTCACAGCTCCAGGCAAGAATACATTCTTGACTGGGTTTTAACATCGCATTACTATTTTGACAGCTTCAGGCAAGAACACATTCTTGACCAGGTATGGACATCGCATTGCCAGTTTTTCCGCTCCATTCAAGAGCACACTAGGCCAGGTATGGTCGCATTACCAGTTTCACACTGTTTACTTCAGATACATCTTACTGGATGTACTCAAGTCAAACTTTGGGATAATTCAGTAAGAACTCTACTGTAATCCGACACATGTACCTATTACTTCGCAGCAAGCACATCAATAACTAACAGTAGGAACCAATATAATTTGATTAGCAAGGTATATCGCAATATCCTTTAATCCTTCCTCTTAGCAAACCCTATATTTATTAAAGTAAATGTGTGTGCTTGTTAGTCTTGAAGTATTCATGGTTGTGAAATAGTAGTACTAGTGGTAGTGGTAATGATGGGAGTAGGCCTAGTAATGGTAGTAGTTAAAGTTAGTTATTTTGGGGTTTGTAGGTGTGGAGTTATTATAGTGGGTTATAGTGGGCTAGTATAATAGTGAGTATTAGAGCAACATTAGCCATAGAATGGATTTTCTAGTTTTACATTTTTGTTTGTTTAAATATTCTGAAAGTTCTGTGGTGGTGATTTCCATTTAGAATGTTGAAGCCTGCATTCCACCATCGAAATGAATGGGGATACAAAAAGCTTTATCGTTTATAAAGTATGAATGATAGCAAAAAGCTGTGTTGAAGCAATCTAAATTAGCAATCTAAATTAAGTCAGTCAGCATATGTCTATAGACTGCATACAGGGTAAGGAAACCAATGTGTCATTTTGTAATTTGCGTAAACTATCTTTTAACATATTCAAAACGTTATAAACTGTAAAAATTCAAATTAGCATACATTAGCATATAACAAAACAACAATAATAGTAACTCTTGAACCATTCAAGCTAGAGACACCAAACCAACTTTCACATGTTCAGGCAATCCTATCAATCAATCAATTCTCCCATAACCAGTCACTACCATCACTACTTCAATCACTATCACTAATATAACTTATTTCACAACCATAAATACTTTAAGACAAGCTAGCAAGCACACACATTTTCTTTAGAAAATGTACTTTTCTAGTTATTATTATTCACCTTCCACTGGAACCTCTATTGCAAAAGCCATAACGCTACAGAGACCAAATCAACTTTAAAACGTGCAGGTTGACTGTCTCCAGGTTGCTTGAAAACCCCTTTTTGATACTACTAAGATTTATCACACTACAACCACATTTGCATAAATCCCAATGAAGAGAGATTCTAGAATAGAATTGAATGGGAAGAATTCTGGTCGATTCTAGTCTTCCACAGTTTAAGTTAGAAACGCCATTCAAAGTTTAAAAAGGGCAGACCGGTCTGGAATAGGTTGCTTGAATAACGCTCTTTGAGACCATTTATACTTTTTAAACTATATAACCGTTTTTAATGTGCATAAAATCTCCATAGACTTCAATGGGAAATATTTGTATTTGCCACTGCTCTTGAACAATAAAAGCTACAAACACCAAAACAACATTGACACATACAGACTGACTCAACTTAGATTACTTGTAAAAATAATTAAGTAAGTTTTGAACTATAAGGATTTTAAATGAGCATAAAAGCTCCATAGACTTCAAAGGCAAAATTTGGATTTGCCACTGCTGTTGATCTGTTTCAGCTACAAAAACCAACCCAACGTTGACATGTGCGGACTGACTTAACTTATATTGCTTCAACACAACTTTTTGCTACCATTCAAATTCATAAACAATAAGGGACAGATCGAAATGTATTGGGGGATGGTGGTTCAAAATAGGTTAGGGTTGTCAAAATATTTGTAAAAATTATTTTTGGGGTTGTGTGATTTTTTTGCAGGGGCACAGGGGAGGGTAATGTTTTTTTTCCCTGGTTTACATTTGTTCATCTGCTCGTATTTTCCCTATAAACAATGGCTTGACTTACTTTTGATATTACCCTAATAAAGTTAAGAAACATTTGGTATGGTGTGGCTATTATTAAGCTTTAGCTACTCCGGCGCACCAACTGACTCCAACAGTTGAACTTGAGGTGAGGAAGACTGTTTCAAGCCTACCAGAGTCACTCCTATAATCAAACAATATATACAGTGGGGGAAAAAAGTATTTAGTCAGCCACAAATTGTGCAAGTTCTCCCACTTAAAAAGATGAGAGAGGCCTGTAATTTTCATCATAGGTACACGTCAACTATGACAGACAAATTGACCAAAAAAAATTCAGAATATCACATTGTAGGATTTTAATGAATTTATTTGCAAAT